ATTGGCAGTTCAACGTCTGAGTATGTAAGATGTGAATTCTTTTGGTTTTTTATTAAATGAGTGTAGATATGTTAATAGACCACACTACAATATATACATCATAACTAAAAAATATATTTAGCTGACATTTATGAGCTGATAAAATAAGGACAATTTTTTATGGTGAATCTCTAAATTATATTAATTTCCTCTAATAGGTTGACATTATTGAGTGAACGATTGGAAATGTTTTTCTTTCAATTTTCCACTGTGATGTATAATCGAATTTTTCATTGTAATAGGTTTAAAGTGATCGAGATCTGTTCTAACAAACTGAACATTACATGAACATAGGATGTTGAATAATTTCTGACTTTCAACAGTTCCCTAATAACTATTATCAAAGATGATCAAATTCAATAAACCCTCATTAATACGTTGTGGTGAGTTCCCCTACATGTTTTATTATGAAGGTGAAAGTGCAGGCCAGTAATTCAACCTCAATTTAGATAACTAAGTAGCACATCATCATAACAAACTTGTTTATTCATCTTAAACATTAAAAATAGTAATAATAATCCAAATAGAACAACAATAAATAAAACCAAACAAAATCGGAATACATATCATGGCTATCGCCATCATCAGCTATTCTTCTGCGGCGTTCTCAAGATATTCTCTACTTTATGATGTAACATATTCATTATTCAAAACGAATTAGAGCAGAGAATATGTAAATAAAGAGAGGCTATCACAGCTCAAATTTAACAAAAGAAGTAGAAAGGAAAGACAAAATAGAAAGTAGTTAACATGAACGAATGACAGGAACCGTTAGTAAAAGCAATCAGTTGAACATGGTCTAGCTTCAATTGGCTCATGATTTCAACTTGTGAAATTTCCAAAAAATCTCCACAAAACCCATTCTGATTAGATTTCAGTTTGAACAATAGATCACCTTATATACTTCTAGCGAATAAATACAAGTAATCACGACAATGAAAAGCTAATGGATTTTAATGTATGTCTATCAACTTTATTACTAAATTTCTTTTAAAATATCATAATGAAGAGGACAAAACAAGTGAAAAGCAGTCTAGATAATCATGGGAAAAAATGCAATATAACAGTGGTAGCTGAATTCTTAAGGTCAAGTTATTTACATTCACAAGGTTCATGTGCACATACACACACATACGCATGTATTTGGACGAATATAGTTCCAATATAACTTGGCAACTAAGCTTGGTTCTGATTAAAGGTGGAACATATAACAATCAATTAGTCCGGCGCTTAATGTCATATGAACTAAAACATGCAACTAATATTTAGACCAAGTTCATAACCGTAAGAAAAATTAGCACTTGTTTAAGCCAACATATAAAGACAAAGAATTTAATACATTTATAGGATCATTTATCGATAGAATATTGACGATGGATGTCTAAGACAAATGCACAGTAGATGAAAGTTTGTTGGAAATGATGAGGAAAATGAAAGGAAACCAATAATGACAACAATAATCACTGTCTAAAAGGACGATAATAAAGAAAGGCAAATTCAGGAAAATGATTATTACAAGTTTAAACTAATATGTTCAATATATGATACTTTCTCGATAAGTATTATTATGTTTAATTAAAAATTATGATTAAGCGAAAATAACGGTGGTGCAGTGGGTTGTTAATTTGATAAATAACAGTGAAGAACGACAACAAACACACGTATATGAAAATATCTATTAAAGGATTTTGTGTGTGTAGTAAAGTAAAAATTCAGATCATAATTTTTGAAATTTTCTAAATTGTCCCATTGATCAAGTGACCAGAGATTAAGACGCTATAATTGACCAAATTATTCTGAATAGTACACGGGCCATTAGTAGCACAAACAAACAGGTAAGACATATTTTTTCAGTGAAATTATGTCGATAACCATCCCTTCCTCTTAACTATTTCGACGGCTTACCAATAAGTAGGTTTTCATATTACCTTTACCCTTGACAAACACTTCATCGCGGTATTCAAATATGTAACGTGATTCTAAGCGTTTAGCAACAGCCTCAGTAACTTGTATTCTACCTTTTAAACCTGTTGAATACATACGACTAGCCACATTGACAGTATCACCCCATATATCATATAATAGTTTTGTAGTACCAATAACACCAGCTGTCACTTCACCAATATTATAACCAACTTTTAGCTCAAATTGAAAATTGAACATTTGGCGATTGAAATCATCTAGTGTATGAATTAAATCCAAAGCAAAATCAAGTAATGCCCACAAATGTTCATCTGATCGTTTATTGCGTTTACGTTCAGTCATGTTTAATCCAGAAGCAGCCATAAAACATGAACCGATTGTTTTGATTTTCTCGACGTCTTTATATTTTGATAAAGCGAGTTGATGCTCAAAATCAGCAAATATTTCATTCATAACACGTAACATCTCTTGACCACCTTGGTATTGTTCGTCATAAAACTCAGAGAAATTCGCAATACATGCAAAAACAACACCAGCATCTTCAATATGTCGAGAGTATTTATTATGCTGACGTAAATCATTCATTATATAATATGGAATAATGTTCTCCAATAACCAATCAGCTTGCAATTTTTGATGACCGATAGCTTCCTTAGCTCGTAGAGCTTCATAATCTCGATGAAAACTTAATCGGAAATTAATATCAAACTCACGATTCAATGCACCGACTAGAATCAAAGTAAGTAATCCAATCACGATATACTCATACACGGCATTATCAGACATGGCTGGATATGACCAATCAGGAAACTCAAATAACAACGATGAATTTCGATTTTCTAGTCGTTCTTCAATAATTGCTGGACTATTAAAACTATATTTTATTGCCGAATACCACGACTGAGCATGCTGTGGCGAACACGTGTACTGAAGTGTTCTATGTAAGGATATCAGTAGTATACCCAATGAACAGACGAATGTAGCTGAAATAGTTTTCGTCCAAGAGGAAAACGATGTGTACAATGTACAGTTAATAAACATAAAAGTGAACAACAAACCAATCTGTGTACGATAAGTAGCATAAAACATGTGAGAATAATAATAGGTGTCTTTATGATTTGATGACGCATCGAGTGTTATTAAAGGTGTATATTTATTAAATAAACAATAAGAATAGGTCGACAAAACGACAGATGTTGGTAAGATCAAAATAAAAACACCAATCACATTACGTGAATTCCAACGAAACAGCTTCCCATATAGCCGAATCACTATACGTCGCCAATCATAACGGCTACTAGTTTTCAACATGGACTTACTACTACTATTGCAACGTCTTGGACACCAGGCCCATGCAGCCAAATCGGAAATTAACAATGTCAATAATAGTGTATGTATCATGAAGGCGATAAATAGAATAATATAAAAACTTGGCGTATTCACTGCTTTTCGAGCATCTGGAAAAACAATTAAACATGTTATAGCAATAACGAAAATCAATATTGTCTCTGTAATTGTATTAATAAATGGAGCGATACGTGGTGTGGACCATGATAATTTCTCAATAGAGTGAGTTCTTGGACGTCGTAAACCTAAACGTCGATAACTTTTCTCAACCATGGGAACAAAGAAATTCAAACTTAATCTGGATATTGGTGGAAAAATGAAAATTTCATCAGGTTGAACAAAATCTTGTAATGCCTGCAACATTTCCACATCAGAACCGCGACTAATAGCATACGAAGTAGTTATAGTAGTAGTTGTTGTTGTTGTTGTAGCAGTATGCGGTATAGTTATGTTCTTATTATCCATAGAAAGACGATTTTCTGTTAAGACTGTTGAAACCGATTGTGGGAGTTGACTGCTATCCACCAGCTTCTTATTATCTCCACCATTATGTTGTGTAATGCCGTCAGGTTTCTTAGCGACATTATTAGTACTTTCGTTATTCACAAGTGGATGACATGAGGTAAAAGTGTTGTGAATCTCCGTGGTTGATGAAATACTAGTATTCATTGCTGTTGGGATAACTGCGTCAATATTCCGTGATTCATCATGCAGATTATTATTTGTGGTAACAGTTTCACTATCGCAAACATTATTAATCTAAAAGAAAAATGATAGTTGTACAGAAAATTATTCGGCTGGAGAACAGTTTTATGACGACTTCGCAAAAATAGTAAACCTATGAAAAATACCTCATATCTGTAAACAATAACGGCCTAGAAGTTAGAGCATTCAGTTCCCATCTAGTTCCATTTAGGCAGCTATACATATACAACAATCAGCGACGACCAGATATAAAAATTGGCGACGAAGTAAAAAATATATTACGATCCAAAGTCAGTCTGTGATTGGACGAAATTCAGTCAAACCATTTCGAACAATCAGCATCCAGATTTGTCATCGGTGTCCTTGAACGACATTGGTCATTATTCATGCAGTAATTTTCATTACCGGTGCTGATTCAGAAAATGACTCTCCCTTCCGATCGATTACAGCTACTATTTGAGCGACAGTTGGCGTTCTTAGTGAAATTACGCACACAGCTGCTGAATCACTCACGTTTTGGAGATGCGACGGAAGTGAATGGATTAATTTCTCAATTGCACACTGAGCAGGGAAACGATTGCAGCCTTCATGAATCCTTGGCAAACAGTAACTTAAACGAAACAATAGTCATTCAATATCCACCCAGTGGTACAGTACTGCCCATTTCAGAAACATGCCCGGTAATGGATTTAAATCCCACTGCCCCCGAAACATAATATACAAACACGGACGTATCCAGCTCATAAAAAGATTTCCTGTTTATTGTTCATGGAATTGTCGCAGTACCGCCCACGAAACAGAAAACAAATCGTGCAGTATACTGAATGCAGCTGCACCTAATAAAGCTCATCATTTTCTGGCAAAACAAGGGAATCTCGATAATAAGATTCGTCAGGAACATGTGAAATGGTTACTTAAGAGTAACAGACGTTCCGTAGTTGAGCTTTTGACGTAAACCGAATTCTATAAACAAACGATATGGTTAGCTAGTAAATCAGCTGATTCACGTTCCCACAAGTTATTTTGAGTAATCGCGTATTCAGCCACATCAGTAATTTGATCTAAAACTGATTTCCGACAGTCACGATTGCTAAAGGACAATTTTACATTTTTATAATTCAATAGACATGGCAAACGTTTAAAGATGCGTGATCAACCTGTAACATGCGTCTGTGAATCATTTGCCAAGTACAAGTTTTCGTACTGGTACTACTAGCCATCCTAAACTGGAATTGGAATCTAGTTCAAACGTTACACCTGTAGATTGGAGTTGGATTAACTTAATTACTAAACCATAGATGAACCAGAATCAAAATGGTTACTATTAAAAACGATAATTTATCACCTGAACTAATCTTATTAAGATTTATGTAAATAAGATTTCATGAATTCGTTTAGGGTATATGGTATAAATTCAGTAGTAATAATGCTTGTTCTGACTGTTTACTGAGAAAACATTTTCAACCTTACAAAATGTTTACTAAAATCAACACCCAATGTTCGCTTATCTTGGAAGTCTGATCAGCCCTAATGGGTTGGTGTCTGACGAAATCTCAGCACGGATTCGAAAAGCTCGCTTGGCTTTTGCCAACTTGCGTCACCTTTGGCGAAGGCGAGATATCCGTCTATCAATAAAAGGACGAGTATACTGCGCGGCAGTCCGTTCTGTTTTAATTTACGGCAGCGAAACATGGCCATTAAGAGTAGAAGACACTCGTGCCTCAGAAATATTACTGGCGTTTGCTGGGATCACCGGGTAAGTAATAGTGAGGTTGGACGCAGGGTATTAGGGAATGATGGCAAATCAGTTGAAGTTGTGAATTTTCATCGACTGAGATGGTTGGGCAACGTGTTATGTATGCCTGAACACCGATTACCACGACGTGCAATGCTAACCGGTGTTGGAGATGGTTGGAAGAAAGTTAAGGGCGCCAAACCAAAACGTGGCATCAGTGCTTGAAGACACTAACTTCTAGTCTCAGCCATGTTGGAAGATGCAGACTACTTGGTTGGGGTCCGCATGACTATCGTAACCAATGGTTGGAGACTCTTGGTGACATGGCTCGGAATCGATCACAATGGCGTCGGTGTATACACTCACCGTCCTCCCTTAAACTATGAGATTAAAATCACGTCATAACTTTCTTTCTACGAACTAATTCTTTCTTCCTGTACTATATCCTTATTGCAATCTTTCTTTTATATATTACCACCACTGGATTAACTATTTCTATGGATCCGATGTTTATCTTGCTGTGCTAATGCGGTGGACCGATGCATATATTTGCCTGATCGTACGTTGTAGCTGACTGACTGTTCAGACTCAAAACTGAGGATAGAAGTTAAACATATTGGTTGATCAGAAGAAACTAAGATTATATCGACATTAACTCAAGTTTAATCTTGCCAGTCAAAGTGTATCCTTGGTCAAAGCTTAGAACGCTAGTCTGCATACGAAATAGAACACGCAAGGTAAAGAAATTATAATCGGGATTATAAGTGGCGAATCATCATTAGATGTCGAAAAACTTGTGGTCATAACAATATCAACGAGATAAAGAAACTAAAAACAGTATTTTATTTCGATTTTCATCTGAACATGAAACTAAAAGGGTTTTGGAAAATCGGGACATTGTTTAATGAACGATTATTTAAATACAGTAAACCAATTTATTGTTTTATGTAAAATCGCACAACGTCTTAGTAGAATATGAAAATCATACAGTAAATGCATCATTTGCATATCTTCCTTCACTTGTTTTTGATATAATGCAACAGTCTAATACTGCTGTTATTTCGATTGCTCTCCATTTTCCTTCCTGTTCTTCTGCTGGTAAGTATTCCACTTCCTTTTCCTGCTACATACTACTTATGTGAAGCATCAAGAGATGTTTGAACAGTCCCATACCAGAATCATGGAAGCCGTGATGCAGAAATTGTGCCTATCCCAGCAAAACCTTGCTTCTGATGAATCACAAGTATCCCATACTTATTCATTCATTAACTCCATCCATGAATTTAATTTTGATGGTGTAGCAGGTGTAACTTTTGATTCTTGGTTTAAGAAATATGAAGATTTGTTCTGTATTGATCTCTGAAGACTGGATAATGCTTCAAAGTCAGAATACTTTTAAGAAAACTTGGGACGATGGAACATGGACGCTATAGTAACTTCATTTTCCCGAAGAATCCACAAGACTTTAGTTTTGATGAAACAATTAAAACCCTGTCTCAAATATTTGGAGAACAGTCATCTCCACTTAATATCCGTTACCAATCCTTGAAGATAACGAAAGAACCAGGAGATGATTGAGTGAAACATGCAGGAATTGTGAACCGAGACATTGAGGCGTTCAAGTTGTCTACCATGACTGAAGACGAGTTTAAATGCCTAGTTTTTGTCTGTAGCTTGCGTTCACCCGAAGATGCTGACATCAGAACTGTCCTAACATGACCCTGAATGAAGTAGATACCGAATACAAAAGATTAGTGCATTTGAAGCATGATACTTCGATGGTAGAGAACGGTAACCCGTTCATTCACGTCAATGCAGTCGAGAGAAACGTTTTACAAGGTACCAGCACGCAGAATTATTGAAATGACAGAAACAAACCATCATCCTCACACTGGTTATGTGGCGTTTGGCTTTCCAAAAGATTTTGTCCTTCTAAAAATCATCGTTGTAATACGTGTTCTACAAAAGGGCACAAAGAAAGTCATTGCAAAACCCGGAAACGCCGTCAACAGAAAGTGTGTTCTAAAAGATTCAAGCCACGAATAGCTAAAGTAACGGTGGCTTTTCACAAGGCCGGCTCATATAACCGTAGAAAGTATGTTTCTCTCGAGATTAATGGGTATGATGCCCGCTTACAGTTAGATACAGCCTCTGATATAACACTTATAAGCAGGAGAATGTGGGAGAAAATTGGTAGACGAAAATATATTCAATTCATCAATCAGCACAGAGTGCATCTGGGGGAATTCTAAATATTGCTGGTGAAATCACAGTCGGAGAGTTTACGAAGAAGGGTGTAATATTTTTGACAGAACGTTCATCACTCGACTTATTAGGGTTTGATTGGATTGAAAGGCTGAAGCTAACAGACCGGCCCATAAACTCGGTCAGCAACAACGTCGATACGTCGGAAGTTGAGAAGGACATATTCAAAAAAGCACTACCGAAAGGGGAAGGAGAGGACACAAGTCAGGTAATTACGAAATTCTTAACGGCTTATCGAACTACGCTTAACCCTATCGTCCCAGATGGGAAATCCCCTGATGAAGCGATGTTCGTGAGAAGCATCCGAACTATATTCGACGTCATGTTACCACCCAAACCAGATAAAATCAGAATATCCGGAGTTTTAACGTGGGTGATAAAGTGCTTGTCAAATCATACATTGGGAAAAAATCGTTGGGAACCGGGAGTCGTTGAGAAGAGAATGGGAAATGTCTTATACAAAATGCATGGGATTTTCGGAACGTGGATTAGATACATTAATCAAATACACAGAGAGAAAAGGACTCTAGACACGGTAGATAGTCGAATGAGGCTTCCGCTATATATAATTACAGATACTCCAATGACAGGAACCCCAACAGACACTCATAGACTCTGGATACCAAGAAAGTCCGAACGCCGCAGAAAACCAGTTATCAAGCTGCAAGTAGACCCGAAGAAGAGGTCTTATTATTTAAACGGGGGGTGTTGGAGTGATCGAGAAAATTTCTCGCAAAAGACAAGAAATGCTCAGGAAACACTAAGGAGCACTTTATCTATTCAGCGTTTACTAGAAGTTTAGCCAGAAACATTAAGAAAGAGAAAAGTCACATGCAGAGTTTTTGATTGGCCGATTACTATACTGCTACAATGTAGTAGCATTCCAGAATTTTCGGGAAACCCAAGGACATCTCAAATATTATAAAAACCTTATATTTTCTGTACTAAAACGAACCTTCTCGCATATTTTGCGCCTTTTCTCTCGTGCTTAGGTCGCTGTGTAGTTCCAGCTTGGGGGTCACGAGAATAACGTAGGAATTGAATATAGCGTTCAATTAGCAAGACTTATCAAAAACTGGGAAAAAACTAATCTGACCGACTGAACTATAAGCTTCACACATTATTCAATAGAAAATGAAGCGTTATTGAATAGTTGCTTGTTTCATAATCAAGAACTGATCAATCGCCATTTATTTCCCCACTATATTATAATGTAAAGACCATGAATATATACAGTTTGAATACATAAAACATCAAATAACAACCTACACTTTGTAATTGAACTGGACCAACTTCCAGTTGCATCTACAACGGGAGAAAATAAGATTAAGAAAGCCACTATTATTTAACTAACATCATTTTGATTTCCTTTAGCGAAAACAATAAAAACATTACAGAAACATATTTGTACGTAATAAGGGGATTTTTACTGAGTAAACGTAAACTACAAGTCGAAACACTGTTGGACAAGCATGGATCAGCGCCAGTGGTGGTTAATATATTTATTTAATGTTTCACTAGTGAATAGCCGTTTCCAACTCTGGAATTTTAGACACAATAAGGTATTTATTAGTAGGCTAAAGAAATGGTCATTTGAAACCAAATGCACATGCGAATTTTCTGTAATATTTCCCAGAGAGAGTGATATAGATTTACAATTTTTTAAAAATGTTGAATGTTTGCATATAATAGGATTTTAAGAAGTAGTAACAGTAAGACAGGAAAAGTGATTAAGATAACAGAATATGAAACATTTGCAAATCAATCTGGTGCATTTACATTTAGTTGATTACCAAATATTGAGTAACTATATTTAACTTAAAGTTTCAGATGTCTTTCATATTACAATAAATCATGGATTACATTTGTTTGCAGCCATGTGGGCTTTGGTTAATGACACATAATAATGAGAATATTTATCCAGTGATTAATAATAACCCAGGTATTAAGTTCACTTGATACGACTAACGTAACCGAGGTAACATTACTACAATGATTACAATAATGCACTTATGTGTGCTTGGAAATGACATTGAGAACACCATTGCAAATGGACGGTAAAGTAAAGGTTATGGAAGTAGATGAGACAGATATTCAAAATAAGAATTACAATAAAAAAAGGAACTTAAGATTAAATAAATCTTTTTGGATAGCGTTCCTCACTGTAAACTACCCATCACTTCTTGCATGTTTTGTTCTAGAAAATAATAATGCCACTAATTGTGTAGGATTATTTTATGTGAACAGTCCCTGTTACTAACCAACTAATTGATCAAAAAATGATATATGTCATAAATATTTTATTCTGTGTCATATTGTCATAAGGACAGATGTAAGCGAATGAAAAGGTGGTCACTATAAAATATACGGCAGTGAAATGAACGACAACACAATACAACTGGTGTCTGTTGAATCATATCAATTCTCAATTGTGTTTTTAGGAATCATGTAATTCTGTGTCTTGAGGCGTCATTACTTTTGAAGATGGATAGTGGCTAGCAGTGGAATCCAGGACGCGCGTTTCGTCCTGTTTGGGACTCGTCAGCTGGATGTACCTGCATCTCAGTCCAAAAACATCAATGGGAAGATTCAAATAAAACAATATCAAGTGAGTCATTACTTTTGGTTCAGAAGAGAAACTAATGATGATCAAACTCCTCATATGGGTAACACAAACCTTATATTTCTTGGATGTATTTATAGATGAACAACGGTGTTTAACAATGTTATTGAGCCCATTCGGTTATTGATATGACATTTGCCTCTTAAATTTATTTACAATATATTGATAATATTTTGTGAATATCACTCTTGTGGTTTCCTGTGTTATCAGTGTTACCTGTGTAACAAATAAACTAAAAGACTAGTTAGAATTATGATTTCTTGATTAAATATTCAACAAATTTCCCATCAGCAATCTGATGAAATGGGCATATATTGTATGAAGACAATTATAGTTCAATAATCAAAACATTCGACTTTTATTAATGAGATGGAAGTTGTAAGAATAATTTAACAATAGCTCAAAAATTACACTGACCACCGTATAGCAATGCACAGTTATTCGTGCAAAATCAATTCTCTAGACGAAGTTGCAATACATATACTAGTGTAAGTCACTGAACAATACCTGCACTGTGCACTGATATTAAGTCTCATTCTACGATCGGCAGTAAGCACAAAAATGACAACGGCTACTATTCAGTGGTCCCCAAATGCCCTGGGATGGCCGAGAGCGGGGTGGGCTCGCCCTCCCTCTCGAAATACCCTCAGACGGCAACACGTATACATCCTCTGCCTGGGAAGTCCTACTCAATGCCTTCTCGTGGCGGGGTGTTGTCTACGAAAATGAGAGGACAAAAAGCGAATATCAGCGCTTTAACCGGATTCCAAATCAATGGTGTACATTGGTTTCAGTATCCTGCGGGAACAAATGGCGTATGAACCAATTTCTTGGTCACCGGCAACCACGGGACTGCATCTCCTTACGATGCTCCACTGCCTTGTGGGTTAGACCTTTAGGTCAAAGGCTCGGGGCGTAGCCCCCTACGAAAACCACTTGCTTCGGTCTAAGCACCCGGGCAGTATCACAGCCAACAAAAAAATGATGAACTGTCGTCTATTTATGGAAAATATTCTTCTTGCTCCGAATAACAATCAAATGACTCACATTATTATTATTATTATTATTATTATTATTATTATTATTATTATTATTGTTATTATTATCATTATTATTAGTATTTACTACGTCATTTATTCACCCTCTTTTAGTCCCACTCTGTTTATACTTATTTTTCGACTTATACAGCAGCTCGCCTATAGTGGAAATTTCGCTCTATCTAAACGTTCTCGAGTCACCGCCTGGTTAAAAATTGTATGCTACCACCGAATACGAGTACTGAAGCACTTTTTCTGAAACCACGTGCACCAAACAAACTGGCTCCCTTTAACGTTCGCACACTTATGCAGGTCGGACAACAGATAGGTCTGGTTATGTCTTTGGAAAGTCTTAATATTGACGTTTGGTGTCTATCCAAGACCCGTATTCACTTGTTGGTCGCAGGACACATAACGGGGATCGTCTACTGCAACTGTGCACAGACCACAACCTGTTTCCGGCTAGCACTAACTTTCGGCAAAATCATCGCCGATGTGCCACATGGCGTCCTCCCTCTGCATCTCAAGCCTGGACTCAGATTGATCACATCACGATCAGCTACCTCTCATTGTTTTATGTGGCGCATATATATTTGCTGCCCTCTTGTACCAATATTTATGTGTTCAAATAAATAAGATAATAAATAAATAATAGAGCCAAGCAAAACATCAGCTGTGACCCGGATACCTTAGCAGTGTGAGATCAGTTCCGAGACAACTGCTGATACGCTTTGGTGACAAACCTGGATGAAACCTAAGTCGATGAAATCGTTTAAATTGCCTTTCACACAAGCACATACTTTAAGATATGATTACATAGAAGAGCTGAGGCCTCAGTGGTCAAAGTACTCAAGCTCCAATTAGTAGGTTGAAGGTACGAAAAACCTCGTCCCACTTCGGTTTAGATAATAAGATAATATTGATATACCTTACACAATAATTATGATTTAAGGGTGAGGACATAAATTTCCATTATAGTTAACAAATTAAATTAATCTATCTATCGATTATACAGTATAGCGGTTTGTGAAGAATGAAAAAAGGTATAAAATCTATGATATCAAACTAGATTACACCGATATTAAAAAGTAAAAATAACACAACATTTGAAAAGAAAGATACAATATACTTCACTTACAGGTGGCAAACTGACAACTGGCTTATCATCCAAACGTTTTTCAATAAAATATGTTTTGATCACTACAGATACCCAATGGAAAAGGGAAAATAAAACAATAGAAAAAGTCATTTTGGACACACATATGTAATTGCATATATAACTAATAAATAAAAAAAACAGAGCAGATAGTCAAAGTTATTTAAGTATAAGTCAGTAAACAAGTATATGTTTGAGAATCATTCAGTTGGTCAAACTAAAATAGGTGAGGTGAGGTTTAAACTTGCAACCTATTAATTCAAAGGTAGATGAATTTATTAACTGACCGTCATTTTTCCACAAAACCAGAGTAACGTGCTCGCTTCCTATGATACTAAGAGTTCCACGAGTTCTTCATAGCATAATATAAGGATAACACAAGTAAATCCATCTTTTTGAATTTATCAAGTGTGATTGTTGAAGATGCCTGCTTTGAAGCAATTGAGTAGGAATCGAATGTTCATTTGATTTTTCTACTTATCACATTCTTATCATGATGCTGAGTTAAATTCAGTGCTAATGAAATAATTGTGTAATACTATTTAAACGTAGTGAGAAAAACATACAACAAAAACGATCACTTTGCAGTTATTGTTGTCAATCATGAATCATGCACAAATAATCCTTCTCATCAAACACCCAACATGTTATAGATACGTCCATATACTAACTTTGACTTCAGTAAAGTGAATGAGATACCTTTTTTCCTCTTTTTTCCCTGCCCCGCTAACGAGATTAAGAAATTCAGTTTTATAACGGAAGCTCCGCTAATGATCACCTCAGTAGAACCAAAAAATAGATTTAGGGCAATCAGTTATATATTGATAACAACGATTCAAATTTATGAACTGAATTATTATCACGAAACACGAACCATAATAAAAATGTGTTTAAAGTGAATCATGCATTAACTTTAAATTGATATTGATTTCCTTCCTTATAAGTTAGAATTAGGGATTGTGATTCCACTAAGCTACTGAGTTTAGATAGCCGCTTTTTTAAGTGATTAGGTCCCTAAAGCGAAAGATACCATATCCAAGTCCTTATATGAAGATCAATAAAGGGATGCACGTACATTTAGCTTGCTAGTCCCAAATAGGATGAAATGAGTGCTCTGTATTATTCTGCCAGCCACAGTTATCCTATTCTATAGAAATTGTGACAAAATAGCTATTTTGAGGCAACCCGTATACGACGCATGCGTGCCGACAAAGACTGACCAAAATAATTAGTAGATTAGCAATAATAATAATAAACATAATTATATGAACAAAGAATATTCTTTTCAATAATTTCTCATCAGATTCAACAATTATAAATCCAAATTAATAATCCATATAATTGGCCAGATTTAAAGCAGAGTACATCATTTAAAATTGTAATATGTGAATCAAGAATTGTTGTTTGTCATATAAAATCAAATCAAATCGTTAATGTTGGAGCTGACTAATATAAAGTGTTAACTTGAATCAGTTTATAAGTGAAATGAAATTGTGCGATAAAGGATTGGAATAAATATGGTCAACATGGCGTGAGAGAGAGAATAATGTAATTGCAAATCACAAATTACGTAATATGTAGAATAATATGAATTATGTCAGATATAGTAGATAGGGATGGATGCTGAATACATTTATTATTACACTTGACAACCTTTTTGAGAAATTGGCCGTAAATCTGACCAATTTTATGGATTATAATTTTGGATTCATAATTGTAGAACCTGACGAGAAATTTTTGAAAAGAATATTCTTCGTTCATATAATTGTAATTTAATATAACGGGAATTTTTTAGCGAATAATAATAAATAATCCGAAAAGTGGTTTACAAGATTTCAACTTTTCCAATATTCGTTCAGTTACAAGAATTAGTGTTCGACAATGATGCTGATCCTGGTTGTTTCAAAAGGCACTACTAGTTGTAAGGACTTCATCTAACATCATAGCCATATGCAAGGCATAAATGACGCAAGACACTTCTCTTCACTGAAATAATTACCTCAGAAGTAGTCTCACGTTCATCTATCTCTAATTCCGTTCAAATATACTATTTTCTGAAACATTGTCACTTTATCTGTTTTCCGGATATCATACTTAGAGCATTTTGACGTCAACATCGTCTGATTCTCTCTTACCTAGGAGTAACGTCAGAGTGCAACCACAAACTTCTATCAGTCTTTTCAATAGTCCTGAAAAACAAATCTAAAACTTATAAACGATGATTAAGTGAGATTTCAACGGCGTGTATATTAGTTGAATATTTGACGGTGAGAAAACATTTAGCCAAACAACAGTTCGGAACTAACCTTAAACAGACATCCAATTTAAAAAATGAAATACAAACTAAACTAATGAATAATTAGATAACGATTCTATACTACTGAAATATATATCAACATCAGAGTGGTAAGAATCGGATTATAAGATGGAAATACATATTAAGGGTATTATTTTGAATTCGCCAATATTTTTTTACTGAATTATTAAATTTATAATAATAAAAACCATGCATCATCCAGGAGTCAATCATACAAGGATACGATGAATGAAGGAGACACATTCGGGACCTTACCTAACCATAGTGAACAAACTAATTAAGCGGTATAAAACATCAGGCTGTCTATTAAGGATAATAACCTCAAATAAAATTTATTATGGAAAAACTGAATACTATTGGTGCACAGATGATGATTAGGACTTTTTTTAGGATAAATTATTCCTTGGTCGTTTGAATTAATTTTGAAGATTGGTGTTAATTTCGACATTCTTTCTAATGTGCCCTGACATCAGAGAGTGTATTATTTAAAACGTATTATATGAATCTAATTAAGAATTTTGTCTTTACTTTTGTATTGTCAAATGCTAACTTTCATGTGTGTACGCCTATAAATAATGCATGTGAACCTTTGTATGTTGTTTTTCAACGTACACACATAATGACAATTCCAATATTCAGTTATGTATTTATTGGGGAGATCCAGGAAAATTCATCGCAAAAAAAAGCCAAGAAAGGTTCAGAAAACACTGAGAAGCATCTTATCGAATAAGCGTTCATTAATAGTTTTGCCAGAAACATCTAAAAAGTGAAAAGTCGCATGTCCAGTTACTGATTGGATGAGTACTTATACTGCTACTATGTTTAGTAGCATTCCAGAATTTTCCGCCTCCGTGGCGCAACCGGTGCCCCCTGAATGCCCTGGTACGGCCGAGAGTGGGGAGAGTCCGCTCTCCCTCTCAAAATACTCTCACACGGCCACGCGTATACAGCCTCTGCCAGGGAAGTCCTACTCATTGCCTTCTCATGGCGGGGGTGTTGTCTACGAAAATGAGAGGACGAAAAGCGAATGTACGGCGCTTTAACCGGATTCCAAATCAATGGTGCACATGGGCTCCAGTATCCTGCGGGAACGAATGGCGTATGAACCAATCGTTGGTCACCGGCTACCATGGGGCTGCATCTCCTTACGATGCTCCACTGCCTTGTGGGTTAGACCTTTAGGTCAAAGGCTCGGGGAGTGGCCCCCTAAGATAACCACCTGCTTCGGTTTGGGCACCCGGGCAGTATCACAGCCCACACACAAATTGATGAACTCTTTATGCCTATGGAAATTACTTTTCTCGCTTTGAAAAACAAACAATTGATTCAGATTATTATCATTACAATTATTGTCATTATTAATACTAATATTATTATTACTACTATTATTGTCATTATTGTTATTATTATCATTATTATTATTATTTTCCACATTATTCACCTTCTTTTATACTTATACAGCGGCTCGTCTTTGGTGGAATTCCGACTGTATCTAAACGTTCTCGAGTCACTGTCCGGTTGAAAATTGTATGCTACCACCGAATACGAGGACTGAAGCAGATTTTCTGAAACCACGTGCACCATTCAAACTGGCTGCCTTCAACGTTCGCACATTTATGCAGGTCGGACAACAGAAAGGGCTGCCTATGTCTTTGGAAAGTCTTAATATCGACGTGTGTTGTCTATCCGAGACCCGTATTCAAGACTCTGGCGAAGTACTACAAATTCGATCTCCATCTGTCGCTTCGAAAAGCTTGTTTTACGTGCGCTTATCCGGGGACCCTGTGGCATCTTCGTCTGGTCTCGCTGGCGTTGGTGTCGCACTAAGAGCTAGAGCTGAGGCAGCACTAGTCGATTGGATCCCCATTAACAGTCAGTTATGTGCTGTTACATTAGAAAGTTCCATCAAAGTGAGAAGAAATCGGCGTGAGAAACGATGTCTTTTCGTCATCTCCGCCTATGCCCCGACAGATCGCAGCCCGGATGCAATCAAGGATGAGTTTTACCACCAGTTATCTGTTCTTCTCCAGAAAGTGCGTTCGACAGATATTGTAGTACTAGCCGGAGACTTGAATGCTCAGGTCGGGCGTCTAGGCACAGAAGAGAGTCGTTTAGGTGGCCGATGGGGACTCGTTGGTCGCAGGTCAGATAACGGGGACCGTCTACTGCAACTTTGCACAGACCACAACCTGTTTCTGGCTAGCACTAACTTTCGGCACAGTCATCGCCGATGTGCCACCTGGCGTCCTCCCTCTGCATCTCAAGCCTGGACTCAGATTGATCACATCGCGATCAGCTACCGCTGGCGTGGTTGTGTACAAGACTGCCGCTCCTTTTGGAGTACCTATCTGGACTCTGACCATGCCTTGGTCTGCACCAATCTTGCCTTACTTTTCAGTGGACAACGAAGTGACCGCCATCAACGGATTGATGTTAGCAAGCTGGTTGCAACTTCTGTTGCAAGTAAGTATCGAACCGAGCTAGCCTCTAGGCTAGCTACCACTCCACCGAAAAGTATAGATGAGCATTGGTTGCAATTGCGTGACGCCATGAAAATGGCGGGAACAGTCAGTTGTGGGTTTGCGAAACGTCCCGCTTTTAAGCACTGGGTTTCTGCAGGTTCCTTACAACTCATAGAAGCCCGTCAGTCTACTCCGGGTGACCGAAGGATGTTACGTAAGGAAATTGGGCAAAGCTTGCGTAAGGACCGAGAAGCCTGGTGGTCGATGCGTGCTAATGAGCTGGAAGCAGCAGCTGCATCTGGTAACTACCGGAAGCTCTTCCAGCTCATCCGAGCCACTGGCAGCAAGAAGTCTGGTGTGAGTGAAACAATCTGCGAGGATGATGGGATGCCAATCACTAACATCCATCGACGTCTTGGACGATGGGCAGAATTTTTCGAAGGCCAGTTCAACTGGCCTGCTGCTCCGGCAACATCGGTCAGACTGTCCTGCCCTCCATGGCCGGTGACGACTGATCCACCAAACGAGGAGGAAGTCTGCAAGGAACTCCAACTCTTGAAGCGTTGCAAATCACCTGGCCCAGATGACTTACCTCCCGCTCTTTTTAAAGATGGTGGTGACTTTTTGACTAAGGAATTGACGACGTTGTTTACAAAGGTTTGGGAACTAGAGAGTGTGCCAACGTCATGGAATGAGTCGATAGTTGTCCCTATCTTTAAAAAGGGTTCACGTCGTTCTTGTAACAATTATCGGGGGATAAGTTTACTTCCGATTGCGTCCAAGCTATTGGCTTCCGTCATTCTTCGTAGGTTGTTCAAAACCCGAGAAAGATTTACTCGCGAGGAGCAGGCTGGGTTTCGTTCTGGTCGAGGATGTATTGATCATATCTTCACTCTCCGCCAAATGTTAGAACACCGTCATACTTTTCAAAGGCCAACAATCGTAGTGTTTCTTGACATCAGGGCTGCCCTCGATTCGTTGGATAGGACTGTTCTCTGGGATTGTCTATTGAAGAAGGGTGTGCCTGAGAAGTTTATTAGCATCCTAAAAGCCCTGTATAAAAACACCTCAGGCAGAGTGAGGGCATACAACCACCTCTCTCCATTGTTCCATTCGAGCAGTGGGGTTAGGCAGGGTTGCCCAATCTCACCATTCCTCTTCAACTTTGCCATCGATGACATTCTGGAAACAGCTCTGATGAATGTAAGTAATGGTGGTGTGGATCTGTTGCCTGGAAAAAGACTTCTCGACCTTGAGTATGCGGACGATATTGTCTTACTGTGCGATAATGCCCAAGGCATGCAATCCGCACTTAATCAGTTGGCAATCAGTGTCCGTAGGTATGGTATGTGCTTTGCACCTTCGAAGTGCAAAGTACTCCTACAAGACTGGCAGGATTCCAATCCTGTACTCACCCTGGATGGTGAGCAGATAGACGTAGTCGAGAAGTTCGTGTATCTGGGTAGCTGCATAAGTGCTGGTGGTGGCGTGAGTGATGAGATCAATGCACGTATAGTGAAAGCCAGAGCGGCTTATGCCAATCTGGGCCACCTTTGGCGCCTTCGTGATGTTAGTCTGGCCGTAAAAGGTCGGATCTACAACGCGTCGGTGAGAGCAGTTTTGCTCTATGCTTGTGAAACCTGGCCTCTCCGAGTCGAGGACGTTAGACGACTCTCTGTGTTCGATCATCGCTGTCTCCGAAGTATTGCTGACATTCAGTGGCAACACCATGTCAGTAATGCAGAGGTTCGGCATCGTGTGTTCGGGCACAGAGATGATAATGCAATTGGTGTCACCATATTGAAACACCGACTTCGGTGGCTTGGACATGTTCTCCGAATGTCGTCCCAGAGAATTCCACGTCGTGCATTATTTGCCGACTCTGGGACTGGTTGGAAGAAGCGGAGAGGTGGTCAGTGCATGACATGGTGTCGTGGCATGAAAGAAAGCTGCAAAGGACTGGCTTGTGTTGGTCCTTCACAACTCCCTGGTTGGGGTCTGAGAGATGGTGCTACACAGTGGCTAGAGACGTTATCAGATATGGCTCAGAATAGAAGTCAGTGGCGATCCTGCTGTAACCTTCTATTACTTTCTTCATAAAAAATGGTTGTGTCTCCCCTAACTGAAAGATTTCTTCTGATTGTACCTTTTCGTTCCGTCGTTACTACCACACTACCTTACTCCAATCTCTTCGTCATTGGTCTCTTTTTCTTTTGCGTCCCTTAGTTTTTTTTTCTCTTTCTACTTCTCTTCGAATTCCCATTGTTTTGTGTGGCGCATATATATTGGCGCTCTCTTGAACCAATATTTATATGTTCAAATAAAATAAAATAAATAGAGACATTTAAAATACCATAAAATCCCTAAATTTTCTGAACATAAAGAAACCATATTTCGCGCCTTTTCTCTTGTGTTCAAGTCGCTGTGTAGATCCAGCCTGGGGGTTACTAGAAGAGCTAACAAACCGAATCGAGCGTTCAGTTAAAAGACTTATCACTAGCGACGGGGAAAACTACAATGAATATTTCTTTGGAGCAAATAGAAACTTATATGGAGCGTCAAGAGAAGCGGTTTGATTAGTTACCATTCAGAATCATGGAAGCCGTGATGCAGAAATTGTGCCTATCCCAGCAAAACCTTGCTTCTGATGAATCACAAGTATCCCATACTTATTCATTCATTAACTCCATCCATGAATTTAATTTTGATGGTGTAGCAGGTGTAACTTTTGATTCTTGGTTTAAGAAATATGAAGATTTGTTCTGTATTGATCTCTGAAGACTGGATAATGCTTCAAAGTCAGAATACTTTTAAGAAAACTTGGGACGATGGAACATGGACGCTATAGTAACTTCATTTTCCCGAAGAATCCACAAGACTTTAGTTTTGATGAAACAATTAAAACCCTGTCTCAAATATTTGGAGAACAGTCATCTCCACTTAATATCCGTTACCAATCCTTGAAGATAACGAAAGAACCAGATGACTGGGAGAAACATGCAGGAATTGTGAACCGAGACATTGAGGTGTTCAAGTGGTCTTCCATGACAGATGACTAGTTTAAATGCCTAGTATTTATCTGTAGCCCATTGTTCACAAAAAATTAAAAGGAGTGATGGGCCATGCTACAATTGCATAAGACATCAATCCTAGAATCTTGAGGTCTGTCTAGCCGATAAACGCATTACCTGCAAATGATTTAGTAAGAATCAAAAGGTATACACACAATTACAACTTCAGTCAGTTGGCAATAATTTGTGATGATTATCTAATATCATAGGTTATATATTATATCTCAATTCTGGCACACATGAACGTTTTCCTGAGAAGACATTGCTTTCATAGAGTTGAGATGACTGTCCAGTTATTTCTTGGTTTTTGGAGTTGTTCTCTAGCAATTCATATACCAAAAAATTAGTTAGTAGAATAGGGAAAAGAGAAAGTGTCTTGTGGAAACAATATTAATTTTACTTACTAGCTTCATCTTGAGTATGCTTAATGGCGAAACATTGTTCTTCTTTATTAAAAAATTCAACTAACACTTTGAATTTTCGAATATCTATGGAAAATGAAAAAGGGGAATAGATTATATTTACGAAAATAGTCAACATTTATTGAACAACCATCATCCGAATTTAAATATGATTAGCATAAAAAAATTAATTTCTGTCTAATTTACATTCAAAATAGCAAAAAACACAAATGTTTTGAAATGTCAGTAACTACAATCGATCTCGAAACGTGAAAGTTTTCTACCAGTTCTGCTGCTACAACTAATTTTTTCGACCCATCATATTTAAAAAATAGTACAGTCGTCTCGTGTTTCCTTATAAGATAGAAAGGCAAAGAAAGTCAACAATTGTGGTTCTTCCGTTTGAGATTTTTATCACATTGCATAGAGACTATTTTGTAGGTGTCATTACCAAGGTTTGACCTTATAACTTGAAATAAATTGAGCATTGGTTATATTGTTATTAATAAAAATGATATATTTGTAAATTCCCAACGAGTAGAAAAATTATTTTTTCTGACGTTTCGTGACACTTTTTTGGCGAATAGAGAAATGAGGATGTGAACAACTACACACAGGTGTTTATGTACAAGAGTTTTAGAACATCAACCTGGTTAAGAAGGATTATTCATTTGTGATTCTAATTTACTGAATGTACACGTACCATAATTCCATAAAATTATATGCTAAGGAAAAATAAAAAAGCTATATGATAGATCCACCTAAATTAAAAGTGGTACAAGTTATTTGATGAATATATTAATTTTATTAGTTGAGATCATGAGTCAATTGAAGTTAGACCACCACGGAAAACCTGGAAGCACTGGACGGCCGTTTCACCCAGTTGTGGGACTCCTCAGCAGTGAGCACCCACGATCCCGCTTCGCGAGATCTGAACCCAGGACCTATCTGTCTAGTGAGAAGCAGTGACCTGCGAGTTCAATTGGGTCTGTGGTGAGATAGTAAGTCACTGAAGATAATGGTGGATATGTCGCGCAATTTCGTGGATTTATTTATTTATTTATTTGGACACATGAATATTGGTACAAGAGAGCGCCAATATATATGCGCCACACAAAACAATGGGAATTCGAAGAGAAGTAGAAAGAGAAAAAAAAACTAAGGGACGCAAAAGAAAAAGAGACCAATGACGAAGAGATTGGAGTAAGGTAGTGTGGTAGTAACGACGGAACGAAAAGGTACAATCAGAAGAAATCTTTCAGTTAGGGAAGACACAACCATTTTTTATGAAGAAAGTAATAGAAGGTTACAGCAGGATCGCCACTGACTTCTATTCTGAGCCATATCTGATAACGTCTCTAGCCACTGTGTAGCACCATCTCTCAGACCCCAACCAGGGAGTTGTGAAGGACCAACACAAGCCAGTCCTTTGCAGCTTTCTTTCATGCCACGACACCATGTCATGCACTGACCACCTCTCCGCTTCTTCCAACCAGTCCCAGAGTCGGCAAATAATGCACGACGTGGAATTCTCTGGGACGACATTCGGAGAACATGTCCAAGCCACCGAAGTCGGTGTTTCAATATGGTGACACCAATTGCATTATCATCTCTGTGCCCGAACACACGATGCCGAACCTCTGCATTACTGACATGGTGTTGCCACTGAATGTCAGCAATACTTCGGAGACAGCGATGATCGAACACAGAGAGTCGTCTAACGTCCTCGACTCGGAGAGGCCAGGTTTCACAAGCATAGAGCAAAACTGCTCTCACCGACGCGTTGTAGATCCGACCTTTTACGGCCAGACTAACATCACGAAGGCGCCAAAGGTGGCCCAGATTGGCATAAGCCGCTCTGGCTTTCACTATACGTGCATTGATCTCATCACTCACGCCACCACCAGCACTTATGCAGCTACCCAGATACACGAACTTCTCGACTACGTCTATCTGCTCACCATCCAGGGTGAGTACAGGATTGGAATCCTGCCAGTCTTGTAGGAGTACTTTGCACTTCGAAGGTGCAAAGCACATACCATACCTACGGACACTGATTGCCAACTGATTAAGTGCGGATTGCATGCCTTGGGCATTATCGCACAGTAAGACAATATCGTCCGCATACTCAAGGTCGAGAAGTCTTTTTCCAGGCAACAGATCCACACCACCATTACTTACATTCATCAGAGCTGTTTCCAGAATGTCATCGATGGATCGTGGATTAGTTGAAGTTGATGAATATACGCCTATTAAGATAATCTCAAATATAGGCGTATATGTACACTAACTACACATGAACATTTGTGCTTCAGCGAATTACGATTCAGAAAACTGAAACATAATACACTTTCGAAAATCACACTTTTCTGATAAGTAATTACATAAAACTGACACAGTGCGAAACAAATGGTTGTTGGGATCAAATGAATCGTTGAACAATATGTGTCTATCCTACAATCAATGTTACTTTGTAAGTTAATTGGTGAGTATAATTTTTGGACAACCTTTGAGCGACGCTGAAATGACCTTGAAAGTGTTCACCTGAGAATTAGAATGAACGCCTATTTGTGCCAAGCTTTACTTTAATAACAGCGGATTAACTCAACTTGATTCGATAAAAAATTCACCTACTAACACTACTATTACAATTAAAACAGATGTATAAGAATGTCTCATTGATGGACGTTCGAATCAAAGAAGTGGTTTGATACTTTATCTTCAACTACTGAGAATAAGATTCAGTGTTCTCTGAATGTAATTTGGTTCGAACACTGGGTGAGTATCGTAAGCTACTATATATAAAACGTAATTCAAATTCATGAACATAAACACGAAAGCTTGAATTAATAACCGGGAAAGCACGTTAGTTTCTTCAAGGTAGAAAATAAACCGTATGTGACTCTCAACTAATTGCTGATAGCTTTTCCCTGCTCAACATCGAAATTAAGGCTATCATTATACCATATCATCAGATAGTTTCAACATACGTTTTCATAACTGTCTTATACCTCACCAATCCTCCGAAATTAAAATTAATAGACTATCAAAATTGAAAAGTAACATAGGATGTATTGGAAAGACAAAAGAAAAAGCATAATTATGGGTAGGCAAAACACAACTGACCATGAACAGGTTTTCCTTCAGAAACTTCATAAATATTTTTTACAAAACTTAAAGTGGCCTCAGAAATGTGCACTTTTCCCGCTTCACCACTGGACTCCATTTCATTAGCTAATGTAACATCATTTGACCAAACATCGAATTTAAAACGTCTTGTTCCGACAATTCCACAGATCACTTTACCAGTGTGTACACCGACACGCATATTCACCTGAAATAATAAATGTACAGTGAAAACTCAGTAGTGTTTATTTCAAACAAGTAACAATGAAATATGAAGACAAATGATGGGAAGTCCTTTTGGACCGATTTGGCACAAATCAGTAGGGTATACATTTGATATAAAAGGGAGTTACAACGAATTGTGAGACATAACATAGCAACACTGTCAGGTACATTACTACTGAGCTATTCGAGCAGAGACTGACCTCACTAAGACTAGAGACCATATGGGAAATCGATCGATAGAATTTGATTGAACAAACAAGATATTGGTCATTGTTACTTATTAATGCATGAAGTAACAAACATCAACACACGTTCACGGTAGAGTCGAATTAATTACGTCTTCTATGCCATAAAAAATAAATGCAGACAGCTCGTGACGATCGATAGGGCAAGGTAATTTTCGCTTGCTCATGTCTTAAAGTCAAAACTAGAAAATCTCAAATGAGTGATCAAAAACAAAATACTATTCATTTGATTGTACAAATAAATCACATCATAATGCACTGTATTTTTTAAATTTCAATACATAAATAATTAGAATATATCCTGGTAAAAACAAGTTGTGTGGTTAAGATTGAATGATTTTAGTTCTAAAATGCAAAATAATATAAAAATTAATGGGCCAAAAACGAGTTTAGGTTCGGGGATATGTATAAAATTGCTATAAGATAATCATTTTAATAACAATAATTTGCTCCTATTTATTTATTTATTACGTCATTATTGCAACTCTTTCTGAAATAAAAATTACATCATACATAACTGATTGATTTCAATTCATATTTTCTTTATTACCATTAATCTATTTTAATGAGTTCTAATCACTATTTCAATGTTCCAGAACTTTCCCTCTCAAACTTTATTTATTTATTCGAATCAAAAATTTTATGAGCTCATTAACTCTATCTGAATCTTCGCTACATCATCATACACATATATTGATCCTTAATCACACTCTTATATATAAATATGTCAATATCTGTAATAATGTTGAATTTCAAATAATTTAGGTTGTAAGCAGCTGATGAGAACCTAACGAAATAAAATGAATTCATATTATTGTGCACCAATCTTTGTTCTTGCTCTATTTAAGATAATAAAGGGAACTATGTGTATGAAATAATAATAATAACTGCATATTTCTTCAACGTCTTCAATAAACAGAAATATGTTATTTGGCTATTGTAAATTAATGAGTCCCTAGACTGGAGAGAGTTACTTTGAAAAGTCAGAGGTAGAAAAATTACCCTGATGAGATCTTTTGTGCCAAAAAATAGGAAACTGACCAGGCACTAATGGGTAGCTTGACCCAAGAAAATAAAAAGGACATATCTAGAGTGCATATTAGCTTTCTGAAAACTTGATGCTAAAACTAAGGAAGTTGGGGAAAATTGATTTCCAAATGAAAATGTATATGAGCTCTGATGAAACAAATGACCGAAAAATCTGTACCAATAGTCACGGATTACTACGGGAATGAAGGTTCTAGTTTGTAAACTTTCCTGTTAAAGAGTAGCGGACTGACCTTCAAAACAATGATAGGTTTTATATTGGATGTCTGACGATATACAGCCCTTCATCGCCTTTTAACCGATGGAAGACATTTGGGGTTCTACAATTTAAAAATTTTGATTATTCTCAGGTATGCGTATTACTTGTCAGATGATATATATTTCTCCTAAACTGTACACCTGAATTAAGATATAGACAGAGTAGAATTTGAACCCATGACTTAAAAGATGAATTTGGTGTTCGTTACATTTTTAACTATGAACCATATATCAGGTTTGTATCGCAATGATGAAACATGCTTTCAGTTGCAAAACGTAGTCAGCTAGTTGGTGTAGTAGTTAGGCTCATTCACCATTGAAACATTATCTCTCTAAAGCTATTGTCTATCAAAAATTTAGCGCGTTTTCTTAAACTAATAATAAAATAACCTGTGTATTCTCAGTACGGTTACCGGCCCTATCTAAATATTTGTCCTTTTTTGTCTAGATTAAACAGTTCAAAATGATTGTGTTTTTATGACACCAGTAACGAAAATTTCAAGTACTGTTGTGTTTCCTCGATTCGTTTCAGATCCATACACAAAACAGTTTGAAAAAAAAACAGAATAAAGTAAACTAGAATTCAAGAAAAAGATAAACAGACAGGGAGGAGAATTGGCAAAACCGGTTTGTCTTCGTCTTCCAAAATGAAATAAGGAAATAGCAAAATTAAATGAAAAGGATGGTTACGGGAAGTGCGCTGATGATGGAAACATTGTTAGATGTTCAATATTGACTTGAGTAAACAATAATCATAATAACGGTATGATTGAATATGCTATGGTTGACATCCTCGAGTGTATACCAAAGACTGATAAGTAACAGATACAGGAAATAATGTAGTAAAACGTGGATATCTCGGATAAAACTACGACCCAGAGAACACTGTAAGCATGATGATGACGATGACAAACAAGGAATGATTATATAAAAACTAAAAATTGCAAAATGCATTATTTCTTGATGGTTTTCGTTTTTTTTTCTAAAAGAACATTAGAAGAGGCATTACAATACAATCGACATACTACAATATAGACTACTACCAACTATCTATTTAAGTCCTAAAGTATTATCCTTCCACAATTATTATACATTCATTTCGATATCATCCACTTACGAGTGTGTTCAACTTGGAATTCCATTCTTTGTATTTCTCTCTTTGTGTGTGTGTGACTGGGTGAGAGAATCAGAGCTAGTGACACTGCTTGACTGGCTACCCTACGAGATGGGTGAAGTCGTAATGGGTTTTTAAACCTGTAGCCTAATAGTGATAGGGACAATTAATTTACTGGTATCAATTTACTTGCGTAGGTGGGATTTGTTGACGAAGAACAAACAACTCACTTTATCATCAAAAATATTTTTAGAAATCACAGGAATATCCTCCATCAAAAAATGATAATTTTCTATATATCATCCGTATACTACTAATGGCTAATTAGAACACGATGCACTTGAGTCCGACCGTTGTCAAGAAAGGTAGATAGAAGTGATGACTGTTCTGAACAGATTGCATTTTGAACAAACCAGCGATTAGTGGTACGTAATATCCAACTTGTGATTAAGAATTTCCTAAATATATAAACGGTTTTTTTCTGTATCTGTGTATTGAAATACGTACTGCAAGAAGATAAATACCATCATAACATTTTACATCAAGCTAGCTCACTAATGATAGGCATAGTATATGGTTCCATCTAGATTATAATCTACAGAAACGAGGGAAAAACCTGTAACAGAAAAAAACCGCTTTTCGTCCCAGGAGGAAACCACAACATTGTGATATTCTACAACAGACGCACGTAAAACTAATTTTTTGATCAGTCAGTGAATTGATCCGTAACACTAGAGGAGTTATAAATGTTTGTGCTTGAGCTACAATTATTTACATATATTTTCATCAACCCATTTACTAGGTGAAAATGTGTGTAATTGGCTTCTAGCCATGTGAAAATCCTAGCAATCCTGGCCCAATCGAAATGGATGAACCAGAGTTCAAGCCTACGATTAGGTGGTTGGATTTCGGATGTCTTAACCACCGAGCCACTAATCCATTAACAGTGATGCATTTAAGCATATAAGCTAGTTATCTGAACTTGAATATGTACGAATGAATAACAGGACATTGAAAACAGTCATTTTAATTTTAAAATAGGAAATTTGAGTCCGCACAATAGCGTATGATTAACAAGTGACCTTTTTCATACTGTGAGTATCTAGTGAGAAAAATCTACTTGTAACACGGGCAAGTTGCCTGTCTGCCAATCAAAAGGCGTGTATACTGCGCAGAAGTTTTCTCTATAATTTTGTGACTGTGAAAAATAGTCCATTAAACTAGGAGACATGGATAAGTTGTAGGTTTTTGATCATAACTGTCTTTGAAGCACTGTCTGCTTTTCATCAAATCAACCGAGTAAAAAATGTTGAAGTTAGCGCATAGTGTACTATGCACAGATAGAAATTCGTTTGACAAGGTGATGGATTTTTACCGATAGTGGTCAGAACGGGTGTTATGTAAATCTAATCATCGCTTAACTAGACAAGTGACGTCTGATGTAGGAGCAAGTTGAAAGAAAGAGAGGGAAGCCCAAACTAAGACGTAGTATCAGTTCATGAAGTCAATGACTGTTATTAAGAAACCTGTTGGTAGATACAGACTGTCTGTTTAAAGTCACACGATAACCAGTGGTCGTAAGACTTGGGGTAACATGACTCAGAATCGTTTATAATGGCGCAAACGCTTTTACTCTATCTTTCGATATTGAATTCCCTCACATACACTGTCTTTACGAACCTTATTCTCAGTACTTAGTCTTTTTAACTGCCACTGCTTCCACATTATTCCTATCCTGTTAATCTCACTTCGTTGTGCTAATATAGTATGGCAATTTGGGACAACACTCATGTGCCAGGCTTCATTTTAATGGTGACTGATTAACTGGGTAACAAAAAATAAATTTTGATTAGAAATATAGTCGGACATCTACCATTATCGGTTACTTTGATGTAAGACGTTTAACAGACAACCTGTGAAACAAGTATGAGACTATTTCCATTTTCTCAGGCAAAAGCTCCACACAAAACAATTTACTAACACTGATAACTAATTGAAGTAAATAGAAGCCGGTTATGAACGACTGCAGAATAATCATACCAAAGTTAACGTAGTTTTCTTTAATTTGATCCGATAAATTATATATATATATATATATATATATATATATATATATATATATATATATATATTCTTTCACTTACTTCCTCTGAATGATCTTCATCAAACTGTTGTATAGCTAAGCACATTGCTCTACCCATTTCCACTGTTCGCTCAGCATGATCTTCGGTTGGATTCGGACAACCAGAAACGCAATAATAACAATCACCAAGAGTGGCGATTTTCTCACAACCAACAAGTTCGCATAAACGATCAAATCTATCATTTACAGTAGTAGAAGACGAAAAATGACTGAAAATCCACATATGGATTATAATCACACCAAAATCCGTAAGAAAAATCTCATTCAACGTGATATATACCTGATAAAACCTACACATGTCATGATAATATTAGTATATGATACGTTTACAGTTATAAATTGGTAACCATATACACTGACGGCGGCCTGCTTAAATATCTGGGCTACCTGTTCCTGCTATTTGGATATTTCAACAAGTTATATGTTTTCTTGTTTGTTTTAACACATCCTTATGCCAATTGATCGCATAACCTATTCAGGTGTGTTTGTGAAAAGTTCATTTCGCTGTACAAATTACAAAAGAACCCAATCAGAGATATCGTGGTTACTGGTAATATGCATCGGAAAGAATATAGACTAATCAGATGTCGATTTCTGAACCGCTAACATCTAACTGGAAACCACTCAATATTTATCGCAAGGATCGATCAAGAAATAAGGAAACTTGTTGGAATACTTTGTGCTGAGAATTCAATATTGTACCAAACATATAATATTGAATAAAGCCAATAATAATAATAATAATAATAATAATAATAATAATAATAATAATAATAATAATAATAATAATAATAATAATAATATGAATGCAAAATACTATAAAGTTAGGGTGAAATAAAAACTGGAGTGACAAAGTAATTAAAAGTTAAGCTTTCATCAGAAAATGGGCCATCTTAACAAAAGTTATCAGTAACAGTGACCTGTTAATGAATAGCTAATCAAGTGATCACAAGTTAGGAACCCTACTTCATATAATTGAGAGAGCATGAAAGTGTAGAAACACGTCAATTAATTTGAAGTACAACCCAAATACTTCTTTACTTACACTATGATATTATCTCAAACTCTTAAGGAGGATACTTTTTATTACAACTTGATTACAAATATATTTTGTCTGTAAACTGATGAACAGAATACCGACAGGCAAATGATAGAAAATAATGATACGGCATGGTAAACTGACAACTACTCATGAAACTGAACCATTAGACTAAGTCCTCTTCCTTAGAATGAACTGGTATCAAAAAGTAATCAAACTGCCTGTAGGATTGGTTTCTTTCAGAATTAAGGACAAATTTACATACAAAACATTAAGCACAAAATTAAACATAATTACATATCTTTCACCACCGCGTTAAACATACTGCGGTTTGAGCAACCGGACATTATCATTAGCTCCCATATTTAGAGTGTGGCTTATATCCAAGTACCTAGTGAATCACTTTTTTTCATACACCACAAACATGAAGACCTGACAATCAGACCCTTTTGCTTGTTAAATGACACTCTACGACAAAATATTCTTTAATCAAAACTACACCATTTAGTTCACCAAATGAGTATGGTTATCTCGAAATTGTAAATACACATTCTGGATGAGTGCAGTCAGTCAGTCACAAAGTAGAACCTGGTACATATATACATCCGTTCAAGTTGTCATACCCCATTAGCATAGAGAGATGAAATTTTCAGATCGAATCGCAGAATGGTAGAGATAATAACAGTATCAGTGGTGATTTAAAAGAATAAGGATCAAAAATACGATTCCAAAAGAAAATATAAATTAATGAGATAAAAGCACGAGAATAGTTGCGAGGAAATCAGAATCGCAGAAATTGAGGAAAGATAGAGAATGAATGCACCCGCGCCATTGCAAGTGATTTTAAGCCATGTCGTTCATAGTCTCTAACCATTGGTTACGATAATCTCGCGGACCTCAACCAGATAGTTCGCTCCAACTAACATGGCTCAGTCTAACTGTCAATAACTTTATGGATTGAAGATGCCCCTAATTTTCTTCTAGTCTACTCTTACACCACATAACACTGCCGGTCGATATAGGTGATGGTTGGCCATGCGTAACAGATGTCCCAACCACCTTAGTTGATGAAGATTTATCACCTTTTCAATCGATTTGCCATCGTTATCTAGTAGCCTATTCCTAATCCAGGAATTGTTTACTTCATGATCCCAAAATACACGAGTAATGCCTCAAATACGTCTATAATCGAACACCAGTAACCTATGAACATTCTCTATTCTTAATGGTCATGTTTCACACCCATGAAGTAGAACGAAGCGGGCTGATGTGCATCCAACTTGCTCTTTAGCTGGCAGGCAGATATCTTGCCTAGGCCGCAAGTGACACAAGTTGACAGCTTGTGGAATATACTTCCCTCTTCCGAGCTTCGACTTCTCTCTCTAGTTAGCAGGGCTGAGACACGGCAGACTAGCTAGCTTATCTGTCATCGTGTCACAGTCTTCGTTCCGTTCTCAGATCACAGGAACTTGTAATCTTTTCAAACATAGCAGAATAATAGTCCCATCTTTTTCCGAGATGGTTTCACCAACATCCGGATTTTTAACACCCGTTTCGTTGGTAAGTCTGAACAGTTTTTGTGACCTATCGCTGCTATCTTTTTCATCTCTTCTGCTTTCGCTACCCACCACTGCTCACGATTATTTCGGCTCTTGATTAACTAACGTTTAAGCTGCCTCTGCTCCTAATCGTGTTCATGGCCAGATGGGATGAGTTTGTGAGCATATTTCAATTCTACAAATGCCCTTGAAATCCACTGATTTTTCCTAACCATTTGATTTAAAGTTACAGGCAGACATAATTGCTGTTTCCACAACTCTTTGGATATTATGTGAAGTTACCTCACAGTGAATATCGCTTAACTAACCGCCGGAGGCAGAAACCCGTGAGATGAGGTCCACCTTTTCTATTCCCTTCCTGTTGTGAGAAGGCAGTACCGCTGCAGATGCTGGTTGTTCGAGGGAAACATTTTACTGTTGTCACATCCCTCTACAGTCAGCAGTAGGACTTCACCCTCGGGCCTTAAGCTGTTGCTTTTAATCCTACTGTTATCCAACCGATCCGCCTGGCATGGGCATTGTGACAATACCAAGTGTGTAATACAGAAGTAGTTTCAAAACCAATGAATGGATGAGCTACATACATATGCGTAAAATACCAATATAATTATTTGAGACTGACATATTTCCAGATATACACGTCGTAGATCCGAACCCCGGTCAATCTATTATTGTTTGAATAGACAAGCAATATCACTAGCTCTCTCGTATACAAAAACAGTAAGTCCCAAAGTTAAGTACGTAAATCAGTGCATGGGGTAAGAGAGTCTCATAAAAAATGGATCCGAATATAGTACGTAGATATATCGAAAACAATGATCCAACTCAATTATCAAATAAAAACTTGTGTACTCAGGATTTCGAACCATATTTTTTTAGTATTACAGTGTTATTACTACTGCCCGTCTGCCCGTAACCGAGATAGACGGAACTGAGTGCATACCTCCAACTCGATGATTGAAAATCCAGTTTATTCACTAACTTCCATGTACCCCACATGTATATTTGTTTGAGAGATTTGTGGAGGTTACTAAATGTGTGAACCACCGAAAGTCTCAAACTAGGACGAAGCAGCTGTTAAGTACTCACTATTTGATATTATAATCAGCGGCAAGAAACCAAATTCAAGCCTATAGATATTTATGATAAAAGTGATGGGGAAGCCCATCTAGTTTGTTAAAATCAACAATAATGAAAATAATCAAAATCGGATAAATTCAATAGTTGATTTAGCCATGAAAGTCAATAAAACAGGATACTACGTATTGTTTGATTCTCATAATTTGCGATCCATACATAATTATATTTTGTGAATAATTTTAGAAATTTATTTGCTTTTGAAGTGATTTATTAAGAACATTCTGACAGATGCATGACCATAACCATGGACTGATGAATAGAAATTGCTAAAATAAATGACTTGAGTTGTCGAACTGAACTTGATGTATTTTAATTTATTACACTGGCTGAACATCAAATAACTTCATCTACAAAACTGGTGCTTTTGCTCTAGTTAGCGGGTCAGGGAAAACAAGAGGACAGAATAGTTTTATTTACGGTCGAAGTAGATAAATTATTAGCACAGTGCACAAACGTATCACACTTAGATACACTACTGTGTAACCTATTTACAGCAAACTAACAGCAATTTGTTTGGACGATGGAAGACATAACACAGACTAACTGACTCAATATTTTCTTTGGAAATCTAAGCTGCTATTTAAATACAAATGGTTCCAACTAAAATCGTATGACTAAGTTTCATATCGGACTAAGAGTAAAAATGAGCGCCACCAAAATCACAATGTGATTGTTGTTAAGGAGATCCAGATGATTCCTTGAAAAAAGCCAAAAATGCTCAGGAAAAGCTGAGAAACATCTTATCCAATCAGTATTTAATAAAAGTCTTACCAGAAACATCTAGAAAGTGAAAAGTCACATGTCGCGTTTTTGATTGGATAATTCATTCTACCGCTACTATGTTTATTAGCGTTTAAGTCGCTGTGCGGATTTAGTCTGGGGGTTACCAGAGAGTTCAGGATACCGAATCTAGCGTTCAATTAGAAGAGTTATCATTTGTACTTTTATCCCCCCCTACCTCTTAAAAAACTTACGGAAAAAAAAGTGAACTTACCTCCCAAAAAGATCATTTAACAGGTAGACAAGATGTGACGCAGATTTATTCGAGCTCATTTTAGTAAAACCAACAATATCAGCAAATAATACACTGACATTTTCTAATTGATTCACATGAAACTTTCGAAATGCGACAGCTCGTGATGGAGGTACAACAGCTGCTTTAGGCATTAAGCTACATTTTTGACTACAAGGATTGCCAGCATCACTAACGCCAGAACCCATTTCTAAGTCATCTGAAAATACAGTAATTTAAATATATATGAATAAATAGTGAATTTAAACTTGTCGGAATTTATACATGCATACAGTATACAACTAAATAATGTAACTTGAAAACGTCTCTAGAAAGTTTCAACAAATGCAAAACTGTTAAATAACTGACTTGCTTTGTTTTTAAAATGAATAATAGAATGAAATGAAAATAACATAGACAATATGATAAAATTACCTAAACTGCTTTACTAATTGCTAAAAGATACGAATCATATAAAAGAAAAATTGAAGAACAAAGATAGTGCTGCAATGGAAACTAAAATGTTAAATTATTTACAATTGGATTTTTTTAATAAAGTTGAAATGATCGAATATTCCAATTGTGACAGATTGACAACCGATTGCAACACCCAAATACCTTTCAACTTTTCAGACAATAATATTGACTTTATTAGACCAGTGGAACACAGCATTAAAAATCCTTGGGACATTTCTCATCAGATTTGAGTCTCAATTCAATAAATATAACTAGTGTACTAATAATTACTACTAATCATCGAGCAGTTGGTCGCACACAAAAATAACTATGATGTGTTAGTTAGCCAGTGCTTAGACAGAGATAAGTATTACAAGTTTCCAAACGTTACCTGCACTTTTGTTCGCAGTTCCAAGTTTCTCTGATTATCTACCCGATTGGCCAAGTCGTAATGTGTCCACTCCATTATATTCCACCGAGTATGGCTTGTGGGTAAAATACATACTATGTTGTACTGCCTTACTTTTAGTACAGAAATGTATGAGTAGAGTTGACAAAAACCATACCGAGTTACAAGAAACACTTACAACTGTTGTTTCTTAAAATACCGGAACTGCTCCTTGAATCATGTGATCGTAAATGAGTTATTTTCTTGCTAAAGGGCAATACTGAATATTATACTACTTAGTAAAGTAGACTTCTAACGTTTTATGTGGCGCAATAATAAAGTATGGGTATACATGTGCATTCGGCTTAGGGTCAAGCTTTTTATATAAAGGCTAGTTGATCAAAATGAAAGTCAGAATCTGTAACCCAGTAACTTGAAATCAAGTACTTTGACAACTAGATAATCGTTCAAAAGTGCTTATGGAAGTAAACAAGATGAATTATCAATAATAAATCTGAAAAGTGAATATTAAAGTAAATCTAGGTTTTGTTTGACCAAAGTAAAATTTATAATAACTACCAATAAGTCTCCTGATGTCAGCCGGATATAGATTGGATTAAAGGGTGTTTTTCCTACTGTGTTTCTAACTTTCATCTACCCTTGTTATTTGGAATATAATCTCTTTCCTGTTCAACTATGTTCTGATTTGGGGACTTGTCAAGTGAATTGGTGTCGAAGAATACTAAGCAATAGGAATAGCTAGGCTGTAATGAGAGAAATATAACACCTAGACGACAAAACATTATGTTGCTAGGAAAAAATTGGATAACTCTGTTACCAATCACTTTTTCAAGCGGTGTAACCTAAACCCTAGCCATTGTTGATTGAGATAATAGTAACTAAATTGTTTAACAATGTACGTGCAATAAAATCAGAGAACAAGAAACGACAACAAGAGAGACAAAAAGAATTGCAAGTCAGAGGCTCATAAACTATACTGAGGCACACTAATTGTGATTGGTTCACTAATACCATTCGAGTGTCGAAACTCAGAAAATATAGTGTTTGAAATGGGTGAAATTCAAATGATTAAATAAGTGTGGTGTAATTCCATGTTATTAAAAATTCTGGAGGACAAAAATAGTTCCAAAATAACTAACACGCAAAATCATATAATAACTCAGCCAAACATAGCAACTATGTTTAATTGCCCCTGGTGACTTTGAGATATGCTATTTACTAAAGGAACACAATATTTTCATTTTAAAAGAAAATCAACCTATTTCTTATTTTACAAACTAACCTTGTCGTATAGGCTGTTGTTCACAGTTACTCCCAACACTCGCTTTCTTTGGAGTTTGTGTTTCATCTTCATCTTCACTATCTACCTCATCACCAGCATAACTGAGTCCACTAATTTTAAAACTTTCACCTAAATTGATACAATTCGCTTCGTGTGATTTTTTGTCTTTCGATTTTCTATGGTGACTTTGCTTAGACTCATTACTTTTATGCTTATTTTTATTCTTGTCGTTTGAACGCTTATGATCATCATCATCATCATTAGTGTCATATTCAATAGAACTTTCATTGCCCACTTCACGCATTACTTCTTGTGCAACTTGATTAGGCATTAATGAACGAATCATATCATCGCGTATTTCTTGTTCTTTCTTTAATGCTTTTCGCATTAAAGCATTATAACCCATGCGTAAAAATGTCGATCGGCGCCAAACCTATGTTTTTTTAAATAACATAATAATAATGATGTTCCTGCAAAAAGCGACTAGTTTTAAAAAAATAATAGCAAAGATAGATTAGAACAACAAATATAGATGAAAAATATTGTTTTTAATTAGATCCTCATCAAGCTTTATTCTAATATACATGAATACTTAAATGCATATACGAAATTATCATATCAATCACCCGACTGTAGCTGCTACCTTGACGTGGTGGTCAGGCTTGCCTATCGTGATGACCCAACCGAGCTATATTGGCTGGAACATATGTTCCTGTAGGCTCTACCATGCCAGGCAGGTCCATTGGAGAACGGTAAGACTAAAAGCAGCAACTCAAGGTCTGAGGGCGAAGTCGTACTGCTGACTGTAGAGGGGTGTGACAGCAGTAAAGTGTTTCCCTCGGACAACCAGCATCCGCAGCGATGCTGCCTTCTCACAAGGAGGTGTGGGGTTAGAAAAGGTCGATCCTAAAAATGCACACCTCACCTTACCTCACGGTTTCCGTCTCCGGTGGTAAGGCTCTTTGAAGAACGGAGCTAACACGTTAAAAACCTCACTCAAAAAAGCCGCGCGCGACCGGCCTTAAACAATTGTCCCTTAGGATCTGCGGTCACGCTCCCAGGTCATTAAGACCAACATTAAACCAACTTCCTTTTCAGGTTCCTCAAGAAATACCCTTCCACGGTGTGGGCAGCCGGGAAGTGATATCAGCCCTCATACCCGTAACAGCACACGAGACCAAGTTGGTCACATTCAAATCCTTCGTACACCTCCTCATACCTCTTACCTCCACGACTAACCCTTCTCACGTCCCTTTATCACCTCGCACCGCCAGGGCAAACGACTCAAGTACGCGGAACGTTATTCCTGGTCTCCTGAAACCACGCTCTAAACTACACGTAGGAGCTTTTAACGTCCGAACACTTTGCCAAATAGGACAGCAGGCTTCCTTAGCTAGGACTTTAGAATCTCGCGCCATCGATGTGTGCTGCGTCTCCGAAACGCGCATACAGGATCCGAGTAGCGTCATTCATCTGACCTCACTATGCCAAAATAAAGAACCAACTCGATTCACACTTCGTGTATCTGGAAGCCCTGATTCTGCTTCTCGTGGCCCCGTCGGCGTAGGTATAGCAGAGTCCTAGGGCAGAACTAGCTCTCTTAGACTGGATCCCAATAGACATTCGTCTGTGCACTGTCCGACTAAACGGAACAGTAAGGACTCGGAATGATAGGGACACTCGTCGTTGCCTCTTCGTCGTTTCTGCCTACTCCTCCACTGGCTGCAGTTCAGATGATGTAAAAGATGAGTTTTACAGAAAGCTTTCCGACCTTCTCCGAAAAGCTAGGCGCTCTGATGTAGTAATAGTGGCTGGTAACTTTAATGCTCAATTTGGTAAACCAAGCGAAAGGGAACGACACCTGGGTGGATCTTATGGTGTCGTGGCTCAAAGAACAGATAATGGCGACCGTCTGTTGCAGCTATGCTCAAATAACCACCTCTTTCTTGCAAATACTAACTTTAAGCATAAGGAAAAATATCTTTGGACATGGCGACCACCGAATTCGTCCCAACGTTAGACCCAAATAGATCACATCGCTATCAGCCACCGATGGAGCGGTTCGATAGAAGACTGTCACTCATTCTGGAGCACATGCATAGATTCAGATCATGCTCAAGTACGAGCGCGTATTTGTCTGGATCTTACTGAACGTAGGAAAGACGCTGCAAGGAAACCTATTAGGGTCCTACTTAATGATAGCCAAGCTAAGAATATATCTCAGGAACAACTAGAAAAAGTTAGGCAGCCATGTAAATGATGCCTACCCCGAGGCGGCACGGAATGACATCCGAAAAGCTGTGGAGACAGCAGTGATACCTTCTAGTACGGTAAAGCATAAGGTTAGGGAGCAACACTGGATCTCAGCAGCATCTACCGCACCGATAGTTGCTCGGAAACTCATCCCATCTGGCTCTGAACATGACGAAGAGCGGAGTCAGCTTAAGCGCAGGCTGGCAAGAAGCCTACGCAATGATCGCGAACAGTGGTGGGTAGCGAAAGCAAGGGAGATGGAAAAGGCAGCGGCAATAGGTAATAGCAGACAACTGTTCAGACTCGTTAGGGAAACCGGTATTAAGAACCCGACTGTTAGCGAAACTATCTCGGAAAAAGATGGACATATTCATTCTCAATCCAGGAGATTGAGTCGACGGGCAGAACACTTTAGGGATCAGTTCAACTGGCCTTTAGCCACACTTCAGTTTCCCACAATCTCCAGTCGACCTGAATGGCAAGTTGAAAAAGCTATAGGAAATCTAAAGCGTGGGAAAGCAGCAGGCCCTGACAGGTTTACTCCTGAGATTTTTAAGGATGGCGGTCCAGTATTGGCAGCGAGATTGACTGAGGTCTTAGGTAGAATTTGGGAACTGGATGTAATCCCATCTGACTGGTCTCAATCACTGATTGTGCCAGTCTATAAGGACAAAAGTCCTCTTGCGACAATCACAGCGGAATCAGTTTGACTAATAGTGTCTAAAATATTAGCTTCAACAATACTTCGACGCCTAACCGAAACTCGTAAAGAGCAGACTAGAGAAAACCAGGCTGATTTTCAACCCGGACGCGGTTGTATAGACCAAATATTCACACTACGTCAGATCCTAAAACATAGACACACATTCAGACGTAGTATTTCTCGACTTTAAGGCGGCATTTGAATATGTTGATCGTGAAGTTCTGTGGCAGTGTTTTTCACTGAAAGAAGTACCAAAGAAGCACATTAACATTGTAAAGGCTCTCTACTCGAACACAACTGGTCGAGTGAGAGCTTATGGCGAACTGTCATTAGAATTGATTAATTCAAGTGGTGTTCGTCAGGGCTGTCCACTCTCTCTATTTTAGTTTAACTTTATCGTAGACATGCTTTTAGAGATAACACTTTCCTCATCTGAATTTCCAGGGGTTGAACTTCTACCGAGAGATTCACTTGTTGACTTAGAGTATGCCGATTACATAGTTCTATTTGGTGAAGACGCTGACAAAAAGCAGTCTTCTGATCACTCTAAGCAACAATGCAGGCATGTTAGGGATGCGATCCTCCCCCTCGAAATGCAAATAAGATCTCATAAATTCGTTTAGGGTATATGGTATAAATTCAGTAGTAATAATGCTTGTTCTGACTGTTTACTGAGAAAACATTTTCAACCTTACAAAATGTTTACTAAAATCAACACCCAATGTTCGCTTATCTTGGAAGTCTGATCAGCCCTAATGGGTTGGTGTCTGACGAAATCTCAGCACGGATTCGAAAAGCTCGCTTGGCTTTTGCCAACTTGCGTCACCTTTGGCGAAGGCGAGATATCCGTCTATCAATAAAAGGACGAGTATACTGCGCGGCAGTCCGTTCTGTTTTAATTTACGGCAGCGAAACATGGCCATTAAGAGTAGAAGACACTCGTGCCTCAGAAATATTACTGGCGTTTGCTGGGATCACCGGGTAAGTAATAGTGAGGTTGGACGCAGGGTATTAGGGAATGATGGCAAATCAGTTGAAGTTGTGAATTTTCATCGACTGAGATGGTTGGGCAACGTGTTATGTATGCCTGAACACCGATTACCACGACGTGCAATGCTAACCGGTGTTGGAGATGGTTGGAAGAAAGTTAAGGGCGCCAAACCAAAACGTGGCATCAGTGCTTGAAGACACTAACTTCTAGTCTCAGCCATGTTGGAAGATGCAGACTACTTGGTTGGGGTCCGCATGACTATCGTAACCAATGGTTGGAGACTCTTGGTGACATGGCTCAGAATCGATCACAATTGCGTCGGTGTATACACTCTCTGTCTTCCCTTAAACTAAGAGATTAAAATCGCTTCATATCTTTCTTTCTACGAACTAATTCTTTCTTCCTGTACTATATCCTTATTGCAATCTTTCTTTTATATATTACCACCTCTGAATTAACTACTTTTATGAATCCGGTGTCCATCTTGTTGCGTTAATGAGGTATGGCAACTTGGACCGATGCACAAATGTGCGTGGTCCTACGTACAAATTTGAAATTCTTTTGTTTCAAACTCATTACCAGGTTGAATCAATTTAAAGACTGAAACAGAAAACGCATATTAACGAGATTGAATAGTACTTGCCACAACGTTCTAAATATATTCACTACAAAAGCTCCACACGCACTTGAGGACAAGTTACTGAATCCTATAAGCAGCGTACTTAAGTAACAAACCCTTTGGAGGTAGGAACTGTCAAAAAACGTCTTGATGAATTGAAATTTAATATTGAATGATTTGAACAAGTTTAAAAGCTCTCTTAAGTCCAAAGCTTTTCAAATTGCAGTTTCATAACTCATCCTCCATATAATACAAGTTTGGTAGAACACCTTGATACTTATGAGCTAAATGAAGCTTTTTAAATTTTAGTTTCAACTAACCAATATCAGATCCTTTATTATGAACCATAAGGTCCTGAGATAACTAAACATCAAAAAATTCCCTTAACATTATTAATGTCCGATGTGTTTCTCTAACCACTTCTTCAATTATTGTTTCTTCATCAGTCAGTCAGTCAGTCATACATTCATAACTCCGCCTGGAGCCTCTCTAGGGCTACTGCCGGTCCCAAGCCCGGATAAAGGAGGAGTTGGGCATGGGGTTAGCAACTCCATCCCGTAAAAAACTAGCTCGCTAAAAAAACACTAACCAGGAAAAATAATTAAAACCATTTAAACTCTGCCCTGACAGTTAGGTCTTCATTTAGGAGAGTTATGACGCCTCATGGTGAAAGCCGAGTTCCTTCAGAAGTCATGAGGCTGACAACCAGAGTAAATAATAATTTAGGTATATGGAATACTCGTACAATGTGGGAGACCGGGAGAGTCTTCCAAACTGCCGCAGAAATGAAGAGATACAACCTGGAGGTGCTTGGAATCAGTGACACACATTGGACGCAGGTTGGACAACAACGACTGGCTTCAGGGGAGCTTCTGTTATACTCCAGCCATGAAGAAGAAAATGCCCCGCATACACAAGGAATTGCATTGATGCTGTCCAAACAAGCACAAAATGCACTTATAGGATGGGAATCTCATGGACCAAGAATCATCAAAGCCTCCTTCAAAACAAAGAAAGAGGGCATTTCAATGAACATCATCCAATGCTATGCGCCTACCAACGACTACAATGAAGACGCTAAAGATCAATTCTACAATAGGCTGCAGTCAATCATCGAGAAGTGCCCAACAAAGGACCTGACTATTCTGATGGATTTAAATGCCAAGGTTGGAACGGACAACACTGGATATGAAGACATCATGGGACGACACGGACTGGGAGAAAGGAACGAAAATGGTGGGAGATTTGCAAACCTATGTGCCTTCAATAAACTGGTCATAGGCGGCACCATATTCCCACATAAACGCATACACAAAACCACATGGACTTCACTGGATCACACTACACAGAACCGAATCGATCACATTTGCATCAATAAAAGGTTCAATACGATGGAGGATGTAGGAACCAAGAGAGGAGCTGATATAGCATCAGATCACCACTTCCTGGTCGCCAAGATGGAACTGAAACTCAAGAAGCACTGGACAAAGGGGCGGAGAGCATCACAAAAGTTTAATACAGCCTTTCTTCGGGATACTGATAGACAACGAATTTAATGTATCCCTCAGCTTTAGGCTTCAGGCCTTTCACGATCCACTCAATGGAGACGGAAGTACCATGGAGAACAACTGGAAAGGGATCAGAAAGGCAATCACTTCAACATGTCATGAGATTCTGGGCCACAAAAAGCACCATCATAAGCAACGGATCACTGTTGACACACTGGATAAGATTCAGGGTGTGGCCCCTACGAAAACCAACTGCTTCGGTTTGGGCGCCCGGGCAGCATCACGGCCCTCACACATATCAAATGAGATCTGTGTGGTGCATATGTACTTGGTGCCTCCTTGTACCAATATCTATGTGCTAAAATAAATAAAAATAAATCGTTTACTAACATCCAAATGGCTCCGTATACAAACGTCTCAGTCTGAGTAAGAAAATACAACCTCCTCCCACTGGTTCGTTCCAGCAGTGCGGTTAGGTACGACTCATTATTTATTTTAACACATAGATAATGGTACAATTGGGCATCAAATACATATGCGCCACACAAATCTCATTCGATATGTATGAGGGCTGTGATACTGCCCGGGTGCCTGAGTGGAAAAGTAGGAGATGGGTAGTTTATGAGATGAAGCCGTGATATTAAAGAAAGGTGCATAGAACTGGCATCAGTAGGTCCATCATGACACCCTGATTGCGGTCTTAGAAATGGTGCAACTCAGCGGCTCAAAATGTTGCCAGAAACGTTTCAGAACGATGGCCATTTGAACCCTAGCTGTAGTTTTTCTTACTTTTTTCATAAAAATGAAATTTATTTACCTGGAAGGGTTTCTCGTGATTGTATTTTTAACTGAACCGTTTCTCCAATTTTAAACTACTTGAGTTCACTCATTTCTGTCCATTTATTTGTCTTTAATTATAAACACATGTCTTCCTCTATCGTTTCATAAGTACATCTCCTTAGTCGTGTAGTCTTTTTTATCTGTCCAGCTGTATCGACATTTATAAAGTAAAATCTAACAAATACACTACGTCTTGGTTTAGTACATATATTCTGGGAATCAATGTAATGTTATCAGATGTCTCTAGCACACCTGTTTGTGCACTACTGGCTGATTCCTAAGTGTATGGTTAGGACTTTCAAATCTTCAGTCGCAAGTGCTTCAACCATGAATTCATTGTTCTACATATTATAAAATAACCATAAAACTAATCAAAAACATGAATATCAAACCGAATTCCTGGAAGTTATGGTAAAAGAGAGCGGACTTACTTGAGACATCAAGTGAAGATTAATTCCAATCAAATGAACAGAGAAATGACCGACGAAAAACAACAGTATAAACCAGCCTGGGACCCGGTCGTACCTCACACTTGCTAAAACTATTTGCAAGACACTAACGGGTCCACAAATTGCCAACAGCTGCCATAAGCGCAAAGGAGCCATGGTATATGTGATCAATATGAGCTGAAGAATTAAACTGAGATTAAAAGCCAAAGTAGCACCAGGTTCTGGTGGAGTAAATGCAAGCAACCCAAGCAAGCATGAAATCCATGCGTGACTAACACTGATTAATATAGCTCGTGATCTGAAAAGTTTGTCGAAGAAGCTCATTAAGAAATAAGTAAGTGAGATCACAACACCAAGACTGAATCCGATCCTGTATATTAAACAACTAGGATGTTGCAGAATTGAAAAATATATCAACCAAGCGACTGACAGAAAAGCTGTTAATACAGTGCCAAAACGGAATCTCCCACGTGAACTTGGGTAAGTACATTTGTAGTAAAATGACTCTAATACTTCCGAATCAAACTTGAGATTGAGTATTCCCCCGGAACATCTTTCAAATAAGTAAAGTCCTTTGATCTTGTGTTTCCGGACTGAGTCGACTCCTTGAGCCTTGTCAAAGTTATTTCCTGATGTCATTATGGGGAAAATAAATTATGCAAATATCTTAAACACCATTTGAGTGGGTGAAGTTAAGATGTTATATGAGTAACTGATATCAAAACCTTCAAGGTAGGATCAGACTTTCGGAGTAATGATATAATATTCTTATCAGACGATAATTATTCTGGTGAACTGACTCTCGTTACTCATTACCGTGTGTCCTACAATTTGGACCGATATCCCGATCATGAAGAGACGACCAAGCCTTCTCGCGCGGCTCTGAATGTTTCCCAACATATCCAATATCCAATATATTTGCTCCAGGCCATTACAAACCAAGTTATTTCTTTGTACTCGTTTCAAGTTTATTAACTAAGTATTGCAAATGGTTTAAATGTTTTTGGATGGAATGGAAGAAGCTTTCGCTTAATGATGGACCGCCAATACCTCCAGGCAAGAACATATGTATATTACCGATAAAAGAGGGAAAAGAAGTTGGCAAATCATATTATGAAACTATTCTTAGTCCTTAAGAATATGTCAAGATTTCTCTTAGACGATTCCAGCGAAGTTGCTTGTACCAGCTCAGCCTGCAGTGAACTCCATCATTCGACTAGTTTTCTAGAGACACACGTTTATCACGAGAACACGACTGGTTTAATAACAACAATTATTATTATAACCAACTGTACCAGTGTTTGTTTTAACGTGCTTTTGTTTGACTGTGCTAATGACAGCTATTTTGTGCTTCCATTCACTTACTTACACTTTGATTGTAACTTCGCGCGAATTCGGTTACCTTCTGTAACCACGATCGTATCCTGGCACGATCTCGGTATCCTTTCGATGCCACGAGATCGCCAGCTAATAAACCTCGACTTGGTCCATTAACTGTCTTCTGATATTTGGCTTCTCGGGGATTTTATGGAGTCATTTGGAACGAGCTTCTTAAGCCTTCTGATTTATCTGGCACGTGTTTCCTGGTAGCGGTGTTCACAGTTAATCTCAACTCGACGCCACGCTACAATTGGTGAGCCCGACGTGATCGCTCGTCACGAAAAGACCTTCAAGGTTGATCGACACGGCCGCGTCGAGATCGTCAGCATTGATCGTCTCAAACCAGCACACGTCGATGACAGTGCTCTATCTGACACCCTGAGATTCAATGCTAGACCTTGCAGACCTACTAGCGGGATCCTCAAATCATCTTCAGGTCCCACGCTAGATACATCTGAGACCTCATTCTCACGTCCCAGTCAACAGCACGCGTCATCTGCACCGTCTACGGACGAGACGACAGTCTCACGTCCAGATCAGCAGACCACGCCGCCCTTGACTTCGGATGAGATTGCAGGCTCACGCGACGCGAACGAGACTGCCGTCTCACGTTCCGGTCGCCGAGTACGATTACCCGTACGCTTCCGCGAATAGTCGCACAGTCAACAACCGATACGGTGTAGGATTATTTCTATACTACACGTATGCTACACTCTTCTTTTTTGATTTTCTTTTTGTTTCCTGAGCCCACGCCTTCGACCATCTACGTTTGGTTTCGTCGACTTCAGTCAACTTTGGCGAAAGCTGGATTGGCCACCCACGCTCTTGTCAACGTACTCAGTCGATATATTGGTTTCGAATGCTTGGCATATGCTTGGTCTCGAACTTGGTCGTTATGGTCGCTTCTGGTCTTTTGGCTCAACGTGGTTTCGTCCTTCGTCTGCAGCGTTTATGGTCCGGACCCGTACGAACGCCCTCTTCAGATTCTGGATACAAACCATTCTGGTGTAGCATGCCTACTCGAGCAATAAATACAACACATCGCTCCTGGTACTGTTCTCCGAAAACGACTTTCGTTGGCAACTCGACGATCAACGATCGCTTTCCTGTTCGCCAATTCTTCCGTTCTACAATCGCTCGTCAGCCGATCAGTCCCACGATTCAAACCGCTATTTATCGAAAGCGTAAACCCGTTCTAGCGGGGGGCTCCTGTAGTGACTCACGTTTATCACGAGAACACGACTGGTTTAATAACAACAATTATTATTATAACCAACTGTACCAGTGTTTGTTTTAACGTGCTTTTGTTTGACTGTGCTAATGACAGCTATTTTGTGCTTCCATTCACTTACTTACACTTTGATTGTAACTTCGCGCGAATTCGGTTACCTTCTGTAACCACGATCGTATCCTGGCACGATCTCGGTATCCTTTCGATGCCACGAGATCGCCAGCTAATAAACCTCGACTTGGTCCATTAACTGTCTTCTGATATTTGGCTTCTCGGGGATTTTATGGAGTCATTTGGAACGAGCTTCTTAAGCCTTCTGATTTATCTGGCACGTGTTTCCTGGTAGCGGTGTTCACAGTTAATCTCAACTCGACGCCACGCTACAGTTGGTGAGCCCGACGTGATCGCTCGTCACGAAAAGACCTTCAAGGTTGATCGACACGGCCGCGTCGAGATCGTCAGCATTGATCGTCTCAAACCAGCACACGTCGATGACAGTGCCCTATCTGACAACCTGAGATTCAATGCTAGACCTAGCAAACCTACTAGCGGGATCCTCAAATCATCTTCAGGTCCCACGCTAGATACATCTGAGACCTCATTCTCACGTCCCAGTCAACAGCACGCGTCATCTGCACCGTCTACGGACGAGACGACAGTCTCACGTCCAGATCAGCAGACCACGCCGCACTTGACTTCGGATGAGATTGCAGGCTCACGCGACGCGAACGAGACTGCCGTCTCACGTTCCGGTCGCCGAGTACGATTACCCGTACGCTTCCGCGAATAGTCGCACAGTCAACAACCGATACGGTGTAGGATTATTCCTATACTACACGTATGCTACACTCTTCTTTTTTGATTTTCTTTTTGTTTCCTGAGCCCACGCCTTCGACCATCTACGTTTGGTTTCGTCGACTTCAGTCAACTTTGGCGAAAGCTGGATTGGCCACCCACGCTCTTGTCAACGTACTCAGTCGATATATTGGTTTCGAATGCTTGGCATATGCTTGGTCTCGAACTTGGTCGTTATGGTCGCTTCTGGTCTTTTGGCTCAACGTGGTTTCGTCCTTCGTCTGCAGCGTTTATGGTCCGGACCCGTACGAACGCCCTCTTCAGATTCTGGATACAAACCATTCTGGTGTAGCATGCCGACTCGAGCAATAAATACAACACATCGCTCCTGGTACTGTTCTCCGAAAACGACTTTCGTTGGCAACTCGACGATCAACGATCGCTTTCCTGTTCGCCAATTCTTCCGTCCTACAATCGCTCGTCAGCCGATCAGTCCCACGATTCAAACCGCTATTTATCGAAAGCGTAAACCCGTTCTAGCGGGGGGCTCCTGTAGTGACTCACGTTTATCACGAGAACACGACTGGTTTAATAACAACAATTATTATTATAACCAACTGTACCAGTGTTTGTTTTAACGTGCTTTTGTTTGACTGTGCTAATGACAGCTATTTTGTGCTTCCATTCACTTACTTACACTTTGATTGTAACTTCGCGCGAATTCGGTTACCTTCTGTAACCACGATCGTATCCTGGCACGATCTCGGTATCCTTTCGATGCCACGAGATCGCCAGCTAATAAACCTCGACTTGGTCCATTAATTGTCTTCTGATATTTGGCTTCTCGGGGATTTTATGGAGTCATTTGGAACGAGCTTCTTAAGCCTTCTGATTTATCTGGCACGTGTTTCCTGGTAGCGGTGTTCACAGTTAATCTCAACTCGACGCCACGCTACAATTGGTGAGCCCGACGTGATCGCTCGTCACGAAAAGACCTTCAAGGTTGATCGACACGGCCGCGTCGAGATCGTCAGCATTGATCGTCTCAAACCAGCACACGTCGATGACAGTGCCCTATCTGACAACCTGAGATTCAATGCTAGACCTAGCAAACCTACTAGCGGGATCCTCAAATCATCTTCAGGTCCCACGCTAGATACATCTGAGACCTCATTCTCACGTCCCAGTCAACAGCACGCGTCATCTGCACCGTCTACGGACGAGACGACAGTCTCACGTCCAGATCAGCAGACCACGCCGCACTTGACTTCGGATGAGATTGCAGGCTCACGCGACGCGAACGAGACTGCCGTCTCACGTTCCGGTCGCCGAGTACGATTACCCGTACGCTTCCGCGAATAGTCGCACAGTCAACAACCGATACGGTGTAGGATTATTTCTATACTACACGTATGCTACACTCTTCTTTTTTGATTTTCTTTTTGTTTCCTGAGCCCACGCCTTCGACCATCTACGTTTGGTTTCGTCGACTTCAGTCAACTTTGGCGAAAGCTGGATTGGCCACCCACGCTCTTGTCAACGTACTCAGTCGATATATTGGTTTCGAATGCTTGGCATATGCTTGGTCTCGAACTTGGTCGTTATGGTCGCTTCTGGTCTTTTGGCTCAACGTGGTTTCGTCCTTCGTCTGCAGCGTTTATGGTCCGGACCCGTACGAACGCCCTCTTCAGATTCTGGATACAAACCATTCTGGTGTAGCATGCCGACTCGAGCAATAAATACAACACATCGCTCCTGGTACTGTTCTCCGAAAACGACTTTCGTTGGCAACTCGACGATCAACGATCGCTTTCCTGTTCGCCAATTCTTCCGTCCTACAATCGCTCGTCAGCCGATCAGTCCCACGATTCAAACCGCTATTTATCGAAAGCGTAAACCCTTTCTAGCGGGGGGCTCCTGTAGTGACTCACGTTTATCACGAGAACACGACTGGTTTAATAACAACAATTATTATTATAACCAACTGTACCAGTGTTTGTTTTAACGTGCTTTTGTTTGACTGTGCTAATGACAGCTATTTTGTGCTTCCATTCACTTACTTACACTTTGATTGTAACTTCGCGCGAATTCGGTTACCTTCTGTAACCACGATCGTATCCTGGCACGATCTCGGTATCCTTTCGATGCCACGAGATCGCCAGCTAATAAACCTCGACTTGGTCCATTAATTGTCTTCTGATATTTGGCTTCTCGGGGATTTTATGGAGTCATTTGGAACGAGCTTCTTAAGCCTTCTGATTTATCTGGCACGTGTTTCCTGGTAGCGGTGTTCACAGTTAATCTCAACTCGACGCCACGCTACAATTGGTGAGCCCGACGTGATCGCTCGTCACGAAAAGACCTTCAAGGTTGATCGACACGGCCGCGTCGAGATCGTCAGCATTGATCGTCTCAAACCAGCACACGTCGATGACAGTGCCCTATCTGACAACCTGAGATT